TTATAAACAGATATAGCATTGTTGTTCAAAGGCAATACATTTTGAGGAAATTTGTTATGCAGGAATAAGCAAACCAGAGTGTCATTTTAAACATAGTATTATTTCTTGATCTCAGTGAAAGGTTAAACAGACTAAAATAAAATGATCTTCAGTATATTCCTTATTTCTGATCTCCTTTAAACCATCCGCTTCTAAAAGAAGTCATATAATTTGCTAAATTTAAATATAACCAATGACCCAACTCAAAATGTGCATACCCTTTTACCATACAACCATAAGCAAAGGGGGATGGAAGAAAACAGAGACCAGATGGAAAAATAAATATATATAAATTTTCAGAGAAAAAGGCAGAGAGAAATCAATTGGATGCTTGAATTAAACATCATCTTCTTGTAGAACACATTCCATTTTCTCCTGATTCTTCTGGAAACTATTACCTAGAGCTTTCCAATTATTGTCAGATACACCATCCTTCTAGAAATTTAACTCTTATAAATTTAGGTTAGGTTACTTCATTATAAAGAAATGAAAGGTGTTTGTTTCTCCCCAGAAAGCATACGAAGAAGTCCAGATAGGAAAGCAGACTCATATTTTTTAAATGGCTCCCAACTCCCCAACATGGATATTTTCATTCACTCTCTGAACTAGCTTCAATATTTTCCTAAGTAAGTTCACTTGTATCTTTTCACATTGTCATTTTTCATATGTGAGAAATACATACATAGTTTTTCCTTTCAAAGCATCAACTCTTCAAAAAGACTACACATATTTTTTAAAGAACTACTTAGGAGGCAGTGTCTTACTTTAAAGTTGTTTCATATTCCTAAGTAACAAATACCCACTTGTTGTAATACTTACCTCAAATTTTTCAGGAACATGAAGTTTAGGAGATGGAACTCCCACAAGGTAGTCAATTACAACCATTATTACTATTGTGAAAAATACAGCAAAATCACTGATTGTCGATCGCACCTATGTTAAAGGAATTATGTTAATATAAGCACAGAAATATTATGAGTCCTTTCTAAATAATTCATAACTTTCACAGATAAAATATGTCACTAGAAAGTATGGATGAGGTTTTAATTAGAATGTTATCTGTGAAATACATTTATATCTAATTCTTTCCTAAAAGATAAATACATTTCACTGCTAACCTACAACCTCTCACGGTACAATTATCCTCCTACTGTGAGCTCAGGCATGTAATATCCATTTTTCTCTATGAATAATTTCTTTATAACTATTTAGCATAAAGTATTAACTGCAAAAATATACTACAGTTTTGAAATAAACCAAGGAAATAAAAACTAAAAATATGAATATTAACAGAATTCCAAAATTATATCCCATTACCTTGGTAGGAAAATAACGCTTGGTCTTAAATTGCTTAAGGAATGAAGACAGAAAAAATGTTGTGAAAAATAAGATGACACACCAAAAGAGCACATCTGGAATATAAGGTCCATGAAGACTACAAGCTGATCCTACAAATACACCATGAAAGGCTTTACATTCCTGGAGAAAGGGAGAAGAAAATAAAAAGAGATGAAGGGGATTCTTAAATATCCAATAAATCATTAATGAACTTCAGTAACACTGAGATGCTACTGATTACATCATAAAATATACCATAATTTTATGTTTCACTTAGAAAAGACATTTCAAGGTTAACTATATCACAACATCAATTGCAAAATACATCCTGAGTTCAGAGACGTTATGATTTCAAAAATATGTGCATCTTAAATCACTGAAATATAGTATTTTGCCAAGTTACTTCATATACTCCTTTCTTTCGATTCAATATTCCCTTTAATGAAAGGCTTATAGTGAGTATTAACTGTGAAATGTTTTCTCTGCATTCTTGCTGGTACACAATTTTACTGTCTTTCCTATATTTCAGGTGGTTTTAAAAAAAGGCAGTAGACAGAAAATCACTACTATGCCCTTTTATGATGCTGAATGACAGATGGGTTTTCTCTGCATTCTTGCTGGTACACAATTTTACTGTCTTTCCTATATTTCAGGTGGTTTAAAAAAAAGGCAGTAGACAGAAAATCACTACTATGCCCTTTTATGATGCTGAATGACAGATGGTTCCAGTACTAAATTCAAACCAGTCCTAAAAATTCTGCTTAGCTTTTCTGACTTATTCAAGACCTTAGGATTAAAAGCATGAGACCATGAGCAGTAAAGTGATCACTAAGATAATATTTCCATTAACAAAATCAATAATATAATATCACCAATAATATTGCATTATGTAATTCAATTACAGAAATCTATTAACTTAATTTTCCTTTTGGGGGCAGGAGGGTGGGGGAAATAACTGAAGGGCAACAGAGATTTACAAAAGAACATGCCACTAAAATCCTCATTTTTCTTACTTGTATTCTAATGAGGCTCATTTAACAAAACAATTCAGGTCTACAAAAAGAAAAAAAAAATTAAATGTTCCATTATTTTCCATTTCCATGTGCTGAGATTAGTAAACCTAATCCAATCCAAATAAAAACAAAAAGGAAAACACCCAAAACCTGACATCACCCTTTTGGATATCAAGAAACCACACTGAAAAGACCTATATCTATAATATCAAGACATCCTGGCCATCACGAAATGAATTCTTTTTAACAAATCACTTTTATTTGAACACTTCTATTAATTATAACACTTCCATAACAAATGACATTTTCAATATAAAATATTAAAACATGAATCCAAGTTGATTACTGATTTTTACTACTTTAAATCAGCACTGTCCAACAGAACTTTCTGTAATGAAAATGTTATATACCTACACTGTCCAATACAGAAGGCAGTAGTCACAGGAAGTGTTTGAGCACTTGAAATGTGCCTTGTCAACGGAGAAACTGAACATTTAATTAACTGTATATAATTTTAACTAATTTCAATAAGACACATGTGGCTAATGACTACTGCATAGGACAGCACAGCCTTAAATCATCAATGGAGTAAAATTTCAGATGATATTCTTCAAATTATATAGTTAGGGGCTAATCGTCACCTTTACTGAGAAAGGAATAACCTACAGTAGGATATATGGTATGAAAAGCAAAATAAATCTCAGGGGGTCTTGGTTTTAATTCTGACTGCTAGCATTACTTTACATTTTTATTCCTAACTCCCAACTTTGGAAGTGTCCAAAATAGATATTATAAGGCTAGGACATTTCCACACAGAATACAAGCATCTTTAATAGTATTTGGAACACAGTAGGTGCTCATTAAACATTTTTGTCCTTTTTCCTTTCTCTTCCCTTAGTGCTTGAGTCAGTCAGACTAGTCTCTGAGTTAGACAAGGTTCACTTAGATATTCAGGACATGAGCACAGCACTCATGATCTTCTACATAGCTGTCCATGGAGCAGATGAACTGATAAAAAGACAGGACAAGTAGATACAGACTGCTGTAACTTTAATATGCAGTATATGTAACAACAGTCCTACTAAACACTTCCTTGCAATTTATCAATCTGAGTGGAATTAGAAACAAGAAGTATATTCACATCTTTTTAATAATTGTATCTTGGAAGTCAAATATAGTCCACCTTTATCTCCCTTACCAGCAGCTCCTTTCTTTTCAGCCTATACTTTCTAGTGCATAATACATAAAAAACTGGCAACTACTATTTAGTTAAAACAATGCAATATTCTGAAAATGTATTATATATCTATCAATCAAAAAGAAAATAGGCATTATCAGAAAAAGCTAAGAGCCAGAATAATATATATTAACAAAATCCTTTATTTTGTAATATACTTACAGAAACAGTGAGATTTCCCCAGGAAATATCATGTGCTGTTATATTCTGCTTCTCCCATAGCTCTAGAGTTTCATTGTTAGGGTTAGGAGGTTCAATACATAAACATCTGAGAAATTAGAGTAGAATAAATTTTTAAGCATCCTGCATTTCATGTTTACATTTTACTAAAGCAATTACACAATATGGTGGCTTTTAATTTCTTAACTTTTGTCCCATGTTGAAAAGCACGGAGACTAGAAAGTGAACATACATCAGAAACAACAGAATGTAATAAGGTTTGGGTTATACAAGTATAAATAAATATAACTAATACAAATATCAACAAAATATTTACTTAATGAAACTCTTAAGGTATATCTCTTAGGAGCGGTACTAATTTCTTTAAAAATTTGAGAAGATACCACCCTGTTTAGCAAGACTACTCTCCACTAAATTTTACCTACTCAACCTCCATAGCAGTTACTAACTGCTGCCACCACCCACTCCCTACAACATGTATAAATTCCCAATAAAAGTTACACTACTATTGATTCCTTGTATTCTGACAAGCCCTACCTACTCACACTCACCCTTTATTGATCTTAAGAATCATTCTTAAAGAAATAAATAAAACATAGTTTTTCATCAAGGCAGAATTTGGAATTAGGAGAGTCATAATAAGATCAGAGAATTCAGTTCATATCAGAACTATTTCAACTTCCTAAAAAAGCTACAAATATGCATAAGCAAAGAAACCTTTATATGTTTCATTGATAATATTAGCTGTTTTTATTTGTTTTTCTAATGAATGTTTACTACTTTTGTTTTATTTATAGTAGGAAAAATGCATTAAGTTCATTAATAGCAGTAATATTTTTATATTTTGGTCAAATAACTAATTCACCCATCTTTCAGTATTACTTCCTTTAATATGTCTACAAAATCCTATAGGTATATTCTACTTTTAGATCATAACTAAGCCATTGATTAACTCCTTCTAAAACTATACAGTCTTTAATATCCTCTTTTCTATTATTTTTAAAATGAATAAAATCACCACTGAAATGCTTACTATACTAAAAACCTCATCAAATATTATTTCCCAAGTAAACTGTGGGAAACTAAAATAACTGTAGGTATTTTAAGTATATTTTAATGTTTCATTCTAATACAACTAAGTATAACTGTTATAATAAATAGGGTTTTAAAACACTGCAATAAACAGATTTTACCTTTAGTACTGAAGTCATGAACACAGAGAGGCCCATTAGAATAAAAATCATTAGCCCTGTAACCCGCTGTTCACGAATTCCCAAAAACTTGGGTTGTTCCCCTGGAGCAGAACATTCAGATTCAACTTTTAAGCTGTTGACATGACTTATTGACAACACTGTTGCAGCCACAAACCATGGAAGTCCCATGACAGAGCAAACTCCCAACATTACACCAACCATGAGCAAATCAAGATGATAGCCAGCTCCTTTCTGAAAAGCAAAATGAACATGAATATTGGTAAGTCTAAATTGTTCTTTCAGTTTAAAATTCTATACCAATTATAAAGAGGGGAAAACATAATTTTCATTTTACATCTTTCAATGTTCTAATCATTATGAAAACACCTCAAATCCTTGAAGAAATCACAAGGCTTAATGCAAAATTTCAAAACTACCTTCAATTTGTGTTCCTTTCTGTTTATAATTACAGCTGTAATTTGTTGATCCATGAAGATGAGAATGGTACAAAGCAGAGCTGGAATAGCAGCAATTAATAAGGTCCACCAAGGATTATCTCCCAATGGGCTTATGATCCAACCCCTATTTGGATCAGTAGGCTGTTAAAATATTAGAGATAATAAAGAAAAAAGTTTATTTCCTGCATTGCACTAAATTTCTACAGCATAGACTAGGTCTATTCCAAAAAAATGCCAAGAGCTAGCAAAGAACTGAATTAAATCTTGGCATGTATGGTGAGTTATTTGTAAAGATAGCCACAGGAATTCTTCCCATCCTTACAAGCCATGTGACTTAAGCCACCCTTTCCAACGAGAGGCGGTATCTATTTCCCATCCCCTTGAAACTGGGATGACCTTATGACTTACTTTAACCCTTAGAATAAGGCCAAAGTGACACCGTGTGATTTATAAGGCTTGACCTCAAGAAACCTTGCAGCTTCTTCTCTAACCCTCTTGGAACCCTGAGACTATGATGCTGTTAAGTGAGTAAGCCTGGATAAGCTTTCTTAAGGATAAGACAATGTGGTGAAGGTGCGTACAAGGGACACAGGGACGGACACACACACACACACACACAACCCCAGCTGTTTCAACCATCTGAGCTGAGGCCTCAGGCATGTGAATGAAGCCACGTTGCCCCCATCAAGGCACTAGATGACTGTAGCCACATGAAAGATGCTAAACAAGACCAACTGACAAGACTACTACCCAGCTAAATCCAGTCCCAACTTCCACAGAATTATAAACAGATATAGCATTGTTGTTCAAAGGCAATACATTTTGAGGAAATTTGTTATGCAGGAATAAGCAAACCAGAGTGTCATTTTAAACATAGTATTATTTCTTGATCTCAGTGAAAGGTTAAACAGACTAAAATAAAATGATCTTCAGTATATTCCTTATTTCTGATCTCCTTTAAACCATCCGCTTCTAAAAGAAGTCATATAATTTGCTAAATTTAAATATAACCAATGACCCAACTCAAAATGTGCATACCCTTTTACCATACAACCATAAGCAAAGGGGGATGGAAGAAAACAGAGACCAGATGGAAAAATAAATATATATAAATTTTCAGAGAAAAAGGCAGAGAGAAATCAATTGGATGCTTGAATTAAACATCATCTTCTGGTAGAACACATTCCATTTTCTCCTGATTCTTCTGGAAACTATTACCTAGAGCTTTCCAATTATTGTCAGATACACCATCCTTCTAGAAATTTAACTCTTATAAATTTAGGTTAGGTTACTTCATTATAAAGAAATGAAAGGTGTTTGTTTCTCCCCAGAAAGCATACGAAGAAGTCCAGATAGGAAAGCAGACTCATATTTTTTAAATGGCTCCCAACTCCCCAACATGGATATTTTCATTCACTCTCTGAACTAGCTTCAATATTTTCCTAAGTAAGTTCACTTGTATCTTTTCACATTGTCATTTTTCATATGTGAGAAATACATACATAGTTTTTCCTTTCAAAGCATCAACTCTTCAAAAAGACTACACATATTTTTTAAAGAACTACTTAGGAGGCAGTGTCTTACTTTAAAGTTGTTTCATATTCCTAAGTAACAAATACCCACTTGTTTTAATACTTACCTCAAATTTTTCAGGAACATGAAGTTTAGGAGATGGAACTCCCACAAGGTAGTCAATTACAACCATTATTACTATTGTGAAAAATACAGCAAAATCACTGATTGTCGATCGCACCTATGTTAAAGGAATTATGTTAATATAAGCACAGAAATATTATGAGTCCTTTCTAAATAATTCATAACTTTCACAGATAAAATATGTCACTAGAAAGTATGGATGAGGTTTTAATTAGAATGTTATCTGTGAAATACATTTATATCTAATTCTTTCCTAAAAGATAAATACATTTCACTGCTAACCTACAACCTCTCACGGTACAATTATCCTCCTACTGTGAGCTCAGGCATGTAATATCCATTTTTCTCTATGAATAATTTCTTTATAACTATTTAGCATAAAGTATTAACTGCAAAAATATACTACAGTTTTGAAATAAACCAAGGAAATAAAAACTAAAAATATGAATATTAACAGAATTCCAAAATTATATCCCATTACCTTGGTAGGAAAATAACGCTTGGTCTTAAATTGCTTAAGGAATGAAGACAGAAAAAATGTTGTGAAAAATAAGATGACACACCAAAAGAGCACATCTGGAATATAAGGTCCATGAAGACTACAAGCTGATCCTACAAATACACCATGAAAGGCTTTACATTCCTGGAGAAAGGGAGAAGAAAATAAAAAGAGATGAAGGGGATTCTTAAATATCCAATAAATCATTAATGAACTTCAGTAACACTGAGATGCTACTGATTACATCATAAAATATACCATAATTTTATGTTTCACTTAGAAAAGACATTTCAAGGTTAACTATATCACAACATCAATTGCAAAATACATCCTGAGTTCAGAGACGTTATGATTTCAAAAATATGTGCATCTTAAATCACTGAAATATAGTATTTTGCCAAGTTACTTCATATACTCCTTTCTTTCGATTCAATATTCCCTTTAATGAAAGGCTTATAGTGAGTATTAACTGTGAAATGTTTTCTCTGCATTCTTGCTGGTACACAATTTTACTGTCTTTCCTATATTTCAGGTGGTTTAAAAAAAAGGCAGTAGACAGAAAATCACTACTATGCCCTTTTATGATGCTGAATGACAGATGGTTCCAGTACTAAATTCAAACCAGTCCTAAAAATTCTGCTTAGCTTTTCTGACTTATTCAAGACCTTAGGATTAAAAGCATGAGACCATGAGCAGTAAAGTGATCACTAAGATAATATTTCCATTAACAAAATCAATAATATAATATCACCAATAATATTGCATTATGTAATTCAATTACAGAAATCTATTAACTTAATTTTCCTTTTGGGGGCAGGAGGGTGGGGGAAATAACTGAAGGCAACAGAGATTTACAAAAGAACATGCCACTAAAATCCTCATTTTTCTTACTTGTATTCTAATGAGGCTCATTTAACAAAACAATTCAGGTCTACAAAAAGAAAAAAAAAATTAAATGTTCCATTATTTTCCATTTCCATGTGCTGAGATTAGTAAACCTAATCCAATCCAAATAAAAACAAAAAGGAAAACACCCAAAACCTGACATCACCCTTTTGGATATCAAGAAACCACACTGAAAAGACCTATATCTATAATATCAAGACATCCTGGCCATCACGAAATGAATTCTTTTTAACAAATCACTTTTATTTGAACACTTCTATTAATTATAACACTTCCATAACAAATGACATTTTCAATATAAAATATTAAAACATGAATCCAAGTTGATTACTGATTTTTACTACTTTAAATCAGCACTGTCCAACAGAACTTTCTGTAATGAAAATGTTATATACCTACACTGTCCAATACAGAAGGCAGTAGTCACAGGAAGTGTTTGAGCACTTGAAATGTGCCTTGTCAACGGAGAAACTGAACATTTAATTAACTGTATATAATTTTAACTAATTTCAATAAGATACATGTGGCTAATGACTACTGCATAGGACAGCACAGCCTTAAATCATCAATGGAGTAAAATTTCAGATGATATTCTTCAAATTATATAGTTAGGGGCTAATCGTCACCTTTACTGAGAAAGGAATAACCTACAGTAGGATATATGGTATGAAAAGCAAAATAAATCTCAGGGGGTCTTGGTTTTAATTCTGACTGCTAGCATTACTTTACATTTTTATTCCTAACTCCCAACTTTGGAAGTGTCCAAAATAGATATTATAAGGCTAGGACATTTCCACACAGAATACAAGCATCTTTAATAGTATTTGGAACACAGTAGGTGCTCATTAAACATTTTTGTCCTTTTTCCTTTCTCTTCCCTTAGTGCTTGAGTCAGTCAGACTAGTCTCTGAGTTAGACAAGGTTCACTTAGATATTCAGGACATGAGCACAGCACTCATGATCTTCTACATAGCTGTCCATGGAGCAGATGAACTGATAAAAAGACAGGACAAGTAGATACAGACTGCTGTAACTTTAATATGCAGTATATGTAACAACAGTCCTACTAAACACTTCCTTGCAATTTATCAATCTGAGTGGAATTAGAAACAAGAAGTATATTCACATCTTTTTAATAATTGTATCTTGGAAGTCAAATATAGTCCACCTTTATCTCCCTTACCAGCAGCTCCTTTCTTTTCAGCCTATACTTTCTAGTGCATAATACATAAAAAACTGGCAACTACTATTTAGTTAAAACAATGCAATATTCTGAAAATGTATTATATATCTATCAATCAAAAAGAAAATAGGCATTATCAGAAAAAGCTAAGAGCCAGAATAATATATATTAACAAAATCCTTTATTTTGTAATATACTTACAGAAACAGTGAGATTTCCCCAGGAAATATCATGTGCTGTTATATTCTGCTTCTCCCATAGCTCTAGAGTTTCATTGTTAGGGTTAGGAGGTTCAATACATAAACATCTGAGAAATTAGAGTAGAATAAATTTTTAAGCATCCTGCATTTCATGTTTACATTTTACTAAAGCAATTACACAATATGGTGGCTTTTAATTTCTTAACTTTTGTCCCATGTTGAAAAGCACGGAGACTAGAAAGTGAACATACATCAGAAACAACAGAATGTAATAAGGTTTGGGTTATACAAGTATAAATAAATATAACTAATACAAATATCAACAAAATATTTACTTAATGAAACTCTTAAGGTATATCTCTTAGGAGCGGTACTAATTTCTTTAAAAATTTGAGAAGATACCACCCTGTTTAGCAAGACTACTCTCCACTAAATTTTACCTACTCAACCTCCATAGCAGTTACTAACTGCTGCCACCACCCACTCCCTACAACATGTATAAATTCCCAATAAAAGTTACACTACTATTGATTCCTTGTATTCTGACAAGCCCTACCTACTCACACTCACCCTTTATTGATCTTAAGAATCATTCTTAAAGAAATAAATAAAACATAGTTTTTCATCAAGGCAGAATTTGGAATTAGGAGAGTCATAATAAGATCAGAGAATTCAGTTCATATCAGAACTATTTCAACTTCCTAAAAAAGCTACAAATATGCATAAGCAAAGAAACCTCTAAATGTGAATTTAAAAATGAAAAGAAACAAACATGAATATTCTCAATTAGATTATGAACTGTGAGTAAAGGCAAGAAGACAGGATTTGGAGTCCATCCAAGGCTCTATCATTCACAAGCTGTTTGACCTATACAGGTTTTAACCTCCCAGACCCTCAGTTTCCTCATACACAAAAAGGGCTATGGTATGAGTGAACAATTAAATAACACCACGATGAATTAGGCAATGCTGCTAACACAGTATCTGCAGACGCTCACAGACTGTTAGCTGAAAGCTGTTCACATGTAATTACTCAGTTAACCAGAAGGAATCATTGCTCTACCTGGCTGGCACTAACTATGAAAGTAATATTCATAAAAATCAAAGAAGCAAAGGGCAGGAAAATAGAGAAGACAAAAAACATATATATTAAAAAAAATTACCGTGTTTAAGAGCAAAGAAGATAGCATATAATAAATTTAACATCAGTGTCACTAAGATTTTCAAACAGCTTAGTGTCTTACAGGAGATTTTGTATCCCTCCCTATTCTGCCCATCAAAGTTGAGGTTGTACAAGGAAAGCAAGAGAAGGCAGCAGGAGAAGACATATGGAGGGAAGGAGAAGAGTACAGGGATTTGGGGCTTAGATGGGTAGAAGGAAAAAAACTATATCCTTTTTGTCTTTGGTAATCACATTTCTCCATGTAGTCAATCAAAAGCAGTACCACCTTTACACCAAGACAGCTCCTGGGGGCATCCACTTAGATGCATCTAATTTTAACAGCCTATTTTACTTTTCCTAAATATATTTGCCAACCTTCTGTAACTGTTTACACATTACTTTTCAAATTCTATTCATTCTAGTTTAAAAATATTTTCATACATGCTTATCGCAAAGAAAACACTCCACTAAACAGCCTATGAAAGTGTACTGAAAATCCACTAAAAAAAAACTTTCAGTAAAAACTAACAAACTTCAAAAAAAAATTAAGATACAAAATGTGAGGAATATATAAATACAAAAAATATATCCGATATCCTACTATGTATCTAGGATTTGATTAAAGAATATGATAGCCATTATAATTGCCTGATTCAAATATATGGTGGGTTAGTTGCCAGTCAAATTTAAATTGGCCAATCCATTTCAAGCAAAAGACTAAAAACACACACTTGAATAAGTTACTTCAGTGAACAAAAACGATTTGATCCCTTGTATTTACGTCTATTGAGTGCTTACCCAAAATCTCATCTAAAGCAAATATGTCAACTAGTTGGGTGGTTACAGCTAGATACAGTGAGTATCACTTTACAAAAAACCCATTTTCATAGGAACTGACATCTCTACAAAAATACATTTTAATATTAGGGGGAAAGAGAAACACTTACGAGTAGCTGGTCAGTTCATCTAAGTTGTTGTGCATATTAAATGCATATATTTCTCCTAAATGAAAGAGCTTCTCCAAAGCTTCGTAGATGAATATGATACAAATGAGAGCTGCAAAAGCCTCCTCTGTAAATCGAGTAATATAACATACAAGGCTGCTTGCATCAGTTGCAACCAAAACAATGCACAAGAAAGAAGTCCACAGACCAATGCTGGTTCTTAAAGATAGATAGGAAAGGTGATAATCTCTGTTTAGAAAGAAAAATGTTAACGTGATTAACATATGTGGAATAGTATTTGTAACCAAAAATCTTGATAACAAGCAATAAGAACAGCACAAAAACATATAATTCCTGAAAAAGAGACTGAATCATGCAATGACAAAATAATGTCTGGAGAAAGCTCTATGCGTTTTTTCTGCTTCAACAGAAGACTAGCTTCTTATTAACTGATTTGTTGGTTATTATACTCATATAAAAGATTTACAGTGAGAATCTACTAAGCAATAAATAGTTCAAAATCATCAGACCTCACTTAAGGAGATGTTATAGGGAGTAAATGGGAGATATGCGGTCTGCAGGTAAGAACAACTGCACCTGACTCCTTCTGAAGACCCAGAAGCTCTACGTGACAATATGATAGTAACACCCACAGTTCCAACATCACTACCATCACCACCACCACCTCCTTTCTCACCACTGTCACTACAGAAAGTGATTTCTGTTTTAAATTTCAAATAAGAAATTACTACCAGAGTCTATATTTCACGTCATTGCATTCTCTTGTACAATGACAGATTAGAATCAGAATCAGCTTGTTTAGTGAGGACAGAATCAGAAAGAGATTTAGATTAATCACATTATATTTAATAGCACCGAGCTGTTTCAGGCTAAAACATTCAACTGCACTTATGTCACAAAAGAAACAGTCCTGGCCATGTCAAAGGCAAAGTCTTCTAGCTACAGTACTCTGTATTCATTCTCATACTGTGAACAATCGTGCCAGTGGAAACTGATACTTCACTCTGATTGCCTCAATCCTCTCTCTGTTGAACAGAACTGACTGGTAAAGTCGGCTTGGGCCTTCAAGAGCCACCTCTTTCTAAATTTCCTGTATAAGACCAAAATGTCATCTAACGAAGAATTCAGATTAACATCTTCTTACTGGTTTAAATTTGCAAGCACGAAGGATCCTTATTGCCCTCAAGTGATTTTCTTATCAGTATTGAAATCCACTGATTATAATTTATACTCAAGGGCAACCTTATTTTTTTCATTTCCAAGTTACTGGGGTAGGGAAGGTGGTAGAGGATAGGGTAGGGCTGACCACACAGCAGCCCAAAAATATTGAAAACACATATATTAATCAGATCCTCTTTATCAGTTATTAAATACATAATGCACTTTTAACTAAGTTAATAAACAATATAATATATAATCATACATATATGCAAACACAAGTGACAAAGTAGAGAACTAGTACTTACCTGCAGAATTTAAATAAAATTTTTTCAAACACTAGAACTGGGCCTGTGCTCCCCAATATTGTTAGAGGTTGCCCAGCAAACAATGAATAGGCAATCCCAGTTAGTGATGCTCCAAAGAGAGACTCTATTGCACTCTGTTTAAGGAAAAAGGAAATGAATAACAGCTATACATCATAAACATATTTCTAACCTATTATAACACATGTAAGATATCTGAAAAATAAAATACTAATCAAGTAGTTATAAATATAAAGCAAACAACCTTGAGTCTTAAATTTAAATTTTAAACATGAAAAATTACAAACACATTTAAACACACAGGAAAAATTTTTTTTCTTTCTGCATATTAAAAGTGAACTTTTTGTCACCAACATAATTCAAAACTCAGTACTGTGGGATGCAAGGAGCAAAGAGTAAATGGAAGAGACACAAGGGCTTCAAGTTTATCTATAGATGTTTTATTTCTCAAGTCTGTGGTGAGTACAAAAGAGTATGTATTATTTTGAATACTTTTTTAATGTCTAAAATAGTTCATTTAAAAAATAGAAAACATAATAAATACTCAATATGGTAGTACAAAAAAAGAAGTGCTACAAAACAAAATCTTTTAAGTAGATGATAAATAAACATGTGATCCTACCTTTCTCGAATTGATTTCTAAAGAGCTATTTTCTAGATATTTTAAAGAAATCAATCTAATGATAGGCTTAATCAAATGATACAAAAAATGAAATACTTAACATAAATAAAAGAAAAGAAAAGAGTTTCTTTAAAAAATTCACAGCAACCATAAATGTGGAAGCATTTTGTCATTAGAGTTTGGCAAAAAGATAAAATGAGAAGATGAAAGACTAAGGGAAGTTTTAAATCAAAGCTAGGACAGTAATTTGGTACCACCACCACCACCATCGCATTCTAACAGGATCTGTTATGAGATGCTAAGGGGTGATGACACACTATGCCACTAGACAAAGAGGAGGGATCAGAGAGGAAAGAACAGTTTACCATTCACAAACATCAAACTGCAACACACTACTGGGAAGGAAAAGCCCGTTATCAGTGAAGGCAAGAAAGAGAGGCTTCTAAGAAACAATGCTCCTGAAATGAGAGGCAGCACAGCAGCAGGCAAAGAGCAGGGCTTCAGCACCGGATCTGGTGGGGAAGACTGGCTACTGTGAGGTGGTGACTATGGCCATAGCTTAACCTTTCTGAGCCCAAGCTTTCTCTTCTTAAATGGGAGTGATTATAGCTAGCAGAGCTTAATTAAGAGCAGCATTTGTGAAAACACCTAGTGAGCACAGTGACTGGCACATCAGAATGCACTCATTAAGCAGTAGCAATTCTCATCATCAGCTACAACAGCATCTTCCAAATTCAAAACCACAAGGTAACAGTGAAAGTATAATTCTACTATTAGAATAAAAACAGGATCAATACCCACATACAAATTTGTCTTTTGACAACATGATAAGTATCCATATTAATAATACACTTGTTAACTGTATAGGATAAATTTGTTTCCTTGCCTGGAAGACACTGTTAAACCATAATAAAATTCTTAGTTCAATTAGAATATGCATATCTAGGAATGAATTTAGGCAGAGCTTAAGTCAAAGGGAAAAAAAATGTCAAATGATACCAAGAGACAGAAGGTAAAAAAACTAAGAAGAGAAGCAAGGGCACAAAATTAAATAAGGTTCCCTCCCCCAACCTTGATTTGAAAAAGCAGGTATTGCCACGTGAAGACCTTCCTTTCACCCCACCCCAACCATCTTCTAATTGCTACACGTACTAGATGCAAAAATTTCCCATAACCAGAATTTTTCCCCTAATTTTTGAACTATTTCTACACGCATTCCCAAACGAAAACCTGTCTTTCCTCGAAAAAAAAACCACAGCTGCATTAACTGTTTGCCCTACCTCACTCCCACACTCAGAAGTTTTTTTAACCATCAGAAGCCCTACCCTTACCTTCCCCTCACACAGTCATGTGCCACATAATGATGTTTCACATATATAACAGTGGTTCTATAAGATTATAACAGCATTGGAAAATTCCTGTTGCCCAGTGATGTTGTAGATGTCACGGCTATTCTCATGTCATAACACAACACACTACTCACACATTTGTGGTGACGCTGGTATAAACAAACCTACTGCGAAATATGCTAAGGAGTGCCTAATTAACCACAGGGTGACCCTCCCATAAGGAGCTCAGACCTCTAAGACAAAGCCAACCATCTGACATATTAGGTCCAACCCCAAGTGAAAGAGTTGTTGTCTACTCTAGAATTCTTGCATTTTAAACGATTCCCATCTATCCCCATAGCAAAATAAGAGTTACTAAGTTAGCTAACACTCCGAGTGCAAGGCACAATCCCTACCCATAATTTAATTTTCATAACTTTGCAGGCATTATTCTAATCCCTATTTAACAAATGAGGAAAGTGAGGCACAGATAGATGAGACTCAGGAACATAATTAAAGGACTCACGCTCATGCAGCTAGTGGCCAGCAGAAATAACAGGAAAATTCATTGCTGCTCCCTTTCATAATGTACTTTCATGCAATGACAAGATGACCTACCGATGCATTTCTCAGAACATATCCCTGTGGTTAAGCGATGCATGACTGTACACCTCTCTACTGTACTGCTCCCCTACTCTAATAAGTCATCGAACACCCCTTGCTAATCTTTCCTCCTTTTCAAAACCTCTAGTTAAGTTTTTGCAAAATTACATCTTCCTAATTCCTCTTCTAGGGCTCTGATTGTGCACCTGTATCTACCTCTCTACTGTACTGCTCCCCTACTCTAATAAGTCATCGAACACCCCTTGCTAATCTTTCCTCCTTTTCAAAACCTCTAGTTTAGTTTTTGCAAAATTACATCTTCCTAATTCCTCTTCTAGGGCTCTGATTGTGCACCTGTATCTAATTTGCTGGGTTATTTTTCTCCTTTCATTCCATCCCTCCATTTCACCCCTCCTCCATTACATAAATCTAAGTAATCTCCCACTTTTTTCCTCTCCTTCTGTACCTATACATTTTCTCCCTTGTTAACCTCATCTATTCTCAGTTTCAACACTCACTGGTATCTGAATAATTCCCAATCTTTACACTTCCTTCTTAGCATTCTATAAACTTTGGAACTGCACCTCGTATTATTTCCATTTCTACTTGAAGTTCTAATAAAGCATCTGGAAACAAGCACATCATTTCCATATCATTTTCCTCTATAATACTCCTGCTTTCTCAGTCTCTATTATTTCAACTCCTATGGCTCTTCCTTTATCTCATACATGTGTGCCAAAGCACCCCATGACATAGTAACTACGTACATACTATCTTATTCTTTTCACTTAGGTCAGGATCCTTGAGGACAGGAGATACATACTGTTCTTACACTTGTCTATATCCTTCCAATGCCTAGGGCACTATCAGATGTACAAGGTACTGAATAGCAGGATGAGAAGGGCAGGCAGTGAGTGACAGTCCATGAGCAAAGAAGCAGCATCTCTGAGATGGTAACAGACGAAACGTATCTCCATGGGGACCAGCAGAGTTACATGGACAACTTATGACAAAACACACAGCAACTTACTAGAAATATGTACCTTTGAGACGATGATTAAAAACTAAGATTAAAAAATCTAAATAATCGAAAATAAATTCAGAGTTGAAAGAAAATTTCAGTTGTCAGGTTTATCTCACGTTTGGCTCATGAAGTACTTTAATTAAATAACTGTTATTTCTTAGCTGTGGCTATTTTTTTTAACATTTTACCTATAAAAAATGAATTTTCTCCCAAGAGTAAATATAATTAAATAAAATACACTTTAAGAACTTAAGGATTACAAGTTATCTCATTTAAATGTCATTAAAATGCACATAAGCCAAAAAAATGCCTTTGAAGTATTTACAAAGCACCACAGCTCCTAATACAGTATTACCGAGAACAGAAAAACATAAAAACTTTCATTTTAGTCACATCAAAGGATGGATACAGCTTCCAATTTGTTTTCCAAATAAAAGCTTTTGCTACTTTCACACAAATTTAATAACAGCAAAATTAAAGTAAACGCCAATTCAAAAATCCATCGTTTCCACAATTATGTTCTATTCTTCCAAACAGCCAAGTCTGGGCCTACGAGCCAGGGCTGACAAGTTAACCATATGGCTCTAACTAATCCTATGATCCCTTACAGGGTGAAGTAGCCCCATCAATAAGTTCCCTTACCCATAACCCACCCAGAATCAATTCAACTGGTCTCCCCCAACCCCAATCCACCCACCTCCCAAAAAACAATGTAAGCCTTTTACTCAGATTATAAAACCATTCATCCAGCAAGCCAGGATAAAATTTTTTTTTTTTTTTTTTTTTACCTCAACTGTGCATCTTCTCCTGTTCAAATGGCTTCCCCATGTTTTCCATAGCAATTACCTTGGGGGGAAGTCTGCTTTGGGACAGGTTAACCATGCTGTGGGTAGACTCTTCAAATAAAAGTATGAATAGTGAGACAAATGCATACAGACACTTGCCTCTGAAGAGCTAAGAGCCTGGCCACTACCAATCTTTGTACTCACTATTCTGCCTTCTGTAGCTTCTCCAAGCAGCCCTCCAAAAGTGATTACAGGAGACATACAGGCACAGTATAGGAAAAGAATCGAGGCCAGGCACTGCAGGCTTAATGCATCCTTGAAGTCACTCAAGAAAAAAGGTGCTTTCCTTTTGATGTCAAGTATCAAACCACCAAAAAGCCTAAATAGGTGAGATGAAACTCGTCAAACTGTACACTAGAGGATTCTAGCTAGTTCAAACTAAAACTATGGGCTACATAATACTGCTGGTGTCTAGTGTTTTGTCAACAAAAATTAAAATCCAATTTAAATCATGGTATGAATTATAGAAGATACACTCATTTAATCTAATCAACTGATGACAGAGGAAAGGTGAATCTCAGTAAGTTAAAAGCAACAAACATCTGTATTTTAGGGGCTATACAACAAAAAGATTGCAGGCAAATGATTTTATATGAGTAAATGTTATTTTGGATGCAAATATGCTAGGAAATATACAAGAAAAGTAAACAAAACCTAACAACCCATTCATGAAAATGTGCATAAGCAATTCTATTAATTATTGTCTACATCATAAATCTGAATGGTAACCTTCAAAAATTCCAGCAAGACCATTACAATCCAAATACCCTTTAATATGACTGTAGTATGCTATGCTTAGATGCGTGAATAGTGAAATAAATGATAATTTTAATAACTTTTAAAATTAGCACTTCAATCATATAAACATTTCTATCCAGCAAAAAAACCCTAAAAACTATTTCAGTATATTTAATTTATTGCATATGTAGTCAAACTAGTATATATATTAATAAAACTAGGAATTTTTAATGAGTAGATTAAAAATCTGTACTTTGCACATCAAACTATACCATTCAAAAAAAATTTTTTTTTAAATTAGACTTTTGGATACATATAACTTGAAAACCTTCCAGTAAAATATAAGCTATGTGAGGGTCAGAGATCTTTCTTTGCTCACTGCCATAATCTACAGTATCTTGAATACTGCTCGGGACATAGTAGTTATCCAGTAAGTACTGACGACTGAATCAATAAAAAAATTTTTTGACGCATAAAATAAATAATCATTTAAATTCCAAGTGCAGGTATATAGACAAAAAAAATTAATCTTAAGGGGCTGGCTGGTTAGCTAAATTGGTTAGAGCATGGTGTTAGAACACCAAGGTCAAGGGTATTGGATCCCTATAGTGGCCAACCAACAACAAAAAGTTTAAAAATTAATCTTAAGCTTTCAAATGTTTTGGATGTTTCAAGCTTTGCAATTTTAATTTTTTTTAAGTTAAATACTGAAATAAATCCTAAACATATATTAACAAATGGAAGAAGTTATCCTATAAATAATCTGACAGCAGAGGGAAATTAGCTTGCAATAAAAACAGTATCACTGATAATTTAGAAAATGAATCTATCATCGAGTCAATAATTGAACACTTAGATGACTTATAGAGGCCTCTCAGGTGAGGTCAAGGGGGCCCTAACTTGGCGCTTCTCAGTAACTAACTGTTATCTTTTGAAGTTTGAGGAAGCAGAAGAGCTAACAGTAGACCAGCACTGTTCACGCAAGGAAAAAGTCTTATCCTTTATTATATTCACAGAGACTAATACATTTCATTAGTCAATGAATTATTACAAATTTAAGCTTCTCTAAAGTCTGTATTCAGTATGCCAGTTATTTATTTTTCTTGTACGTAGTACGCTTTAGGGATGTCATCAAAATCCCTAATGAGTGTGTGTATATAAGATATTCTAGTTTTTAAATCATGATTTAAGATTCAAGATCATTTACTTACACAGTGACCACCAGCGAACAATACAGTATCAATAGACAATGCTGTTCTATGGTATGGAAATACCCTAACATATATCTACTTCTATAAAAATATTTTAAGGCAATGTTTGCACCTGGCAATATTTCTCTTCTTTATGCCAAAAACTAACTTCTTAAACAATTTTTCTAACTAGGTTTCCAGAGATCATTACTGATCATTTCCATGGTTTAATCACACCTTATGCATCTAATTTCACATTATCTCATGATATAATAGATTTAAGAGCTTTAAATCTATGCACACACACACAAAAATCATCAGTTATAATTCCTCTTTGTTCCCATAATTTTCTAACTAATATAGAAAATTATAAAAGGACTCTACCTTCTTCAAGAACTTTCTGTACAAGCAATGAAAATTAACCTATACGGTATATAACTGCAATAGTCTGAACATATGGTCCATTACTTTCATTTTAAAGGAAAGCTTGGTAGATACTATTAAAATTATTCTTAAATTCACACAAATTTTCCTTAATTTCATATACCTACACAATAATGCACAAAATTAAAAAAAAAAAGATTGTACAAGATTAAGTTCCAAATATTTGGAAAGAAAAACAATATTTATGCCTTTTGCATCAAGTCAATTCCTGTCCCCCCCCCCCCCCCTATACCTACACAATAATGCACAAAATTAAAAAAAAAAAGATTGTACAAGATTAAGTTCCAAATATTTGGAAAGAAAAACAATATTTATGCCTTTTGCATCAAGTCAATTCCTGTTCCCCCCCCCCCAGAATTTCAGTATTTGTACTCACCGTCCGGTCCTCTGTAGCTCAGGCCCAGCATGATGAGCAGCCTCTTTAGGAGTCTCACCCAATGTGGGGGCAGATCCATTGTGAAACACAGGAATCTTCCTCTTTTCCTGAATTTCACAAAAACACATTCCCAAAATTTTATTTTAAAAAAACTGAGATGCCTTCCATTTTTAAGTGCTTAAATGAGTACTATACTGCAATTAAAATGTAGTGGTATTAATTAACTAGCCACTAATAATTTACCTCTACAGATAAAATAAATTAATTTAAAAAAAATGAGATGGCATCTTCAACTAGAAGAAGCATCATATCTCATATTGACTATATATTTAATCAGTGCTCCTAGGAAAAAAATGCCTCTTAACATAAACTAAATAAATATTCATACATACCACTTCAAATTACCATTCAGCAGTAACTACGAACATAAATATCCTCCAATAAAGCATCTCTCCCATCAAAGATCTTAAAATATTATTCATGTTAACTATTGAAAAATATACTTCATATTAAGAAAAAAGTAAATGCCATTTTTCTTTTACTAGAATACTTGAAGACAAAGGAACAAGCTTTTAGTTGATCTCAAAAGATCCAGGGGACTAAAAGAATGTGTGCGTTTGTGTGTGTGCACATACATGCATGTACATGTGCACATGCACACTTGCACACACACATACACATAAGGAGAAAGAGGGAAGGAAAGAAAAGAAAGAGACGAAAAGGGAGAGGGGGAGGGAAAAAGAGAGATGTGTCATCCCAAGAGGTCCCCTGTGTCAAAGGCTCTGGCTGAACTACAGACTTATACTATTTGATTTATCTTTTCAATATTTATAGAGTAGCAAGATTAATATATAAAAATAGACTATCATTTGCAAATGTCAAAATTAAAGTTAAATTGTATCTTAAATCAAAGGGGAAAAAGAAAACTTAAATACAAAACTTACAGAATTCCTAAAAAACAGAAATAATGGAAAATACTATATATTGTAATCTATGGGATACAGCTAAAGCATCACTCAACAAAAAGCACCATATTAAGAAAAATGAAAGATGGGGGGGTGAGGGGGGAAGGGGTTAAACACCTAATTCAGAAAACGTAAAACCAAAATCTTTCCTGAAGTAAAGTGAAAGAAATAAAACAGCTAAAAACAGAAACTGAGGTAGAAAACAAACCACATTTTTGAAAAGGTGAATTCAAATAATAAATTTTAAAAGCTGTTCTGTTTGAAAAATACGATAGACTATTAGCTGATACACACCATAAGATATAATGAGGAGGCAGATGATAATTTCACAGATAGAATTTACACACAGACATACACACACACACACACAAACACACACACTACATTTTCTACAACTCTATGCAAATAAATTAAAAATCTGTATGAAATGAGTAATAAACCAGGAAAATACAATTTTACCAAAACTGACATGAGAAAGAGGGAAATAAGTTATTGTCTAGGAAAACATAATTTATCAAAACTGACCCCAGAAAATATAGAAAGCTTACACAAACTAATTTCCATAGGAAAAACAAGCAAGTTGTTGAAGTCTACAAAAGATTCAAGCTTAAAAAAATTTTACAAAGGAATTCTTTCAAATGCTTAAAACCAAATTATCCCACACCATTTAAACTGCTTAAGGAAACTGAAAAAGAAAAACTTACCAATAGTTTTTATGAAACAAGTATAACTATGATATTAAAATGTAAAGAAGATAGCACAAAAATCTATAGATCTACTGATAAACAGTGATGCAAATGACTTGAATAAAATAGTAGACGTAAAACACTAGCACTTTAAAGTCCAGGTTAGGTTGACTCCAAGAATGCAAGAATGTTTCATATTAAGAAATCTATTAATATGGTTTACCATAACAGTTGATAAATAAAATTCACATTTGATAAATTCACATTTATCATATTTATTCACATTCAGAGATGATGAAAAGACATTAGATAAAATTCAACATCCATTTATATTGAACATTTCAATAAAACAGAAATTACAGCACTTTCTTACCATGATAAAATGTATATTTTGGTCGCAATGTCAGTATATCACTTAATGGGAGAAATGCTAGAGAAACTGACATCAGAAATAAGATAAGAAGTGCCCATTTAAAGCCCACTGCTACTTAACACTGTAATAAATATTTTTGTCAATACAATTAGACAACATGTTTATATTTCCATGTATTGAATAAAAACTAGAAGGATAAACAAAAAACTAGTAACAAATGGTCAACCTTAGGAGGTGGGTATAGGGGTAAGAAGGTAAAGGGGACAAGGTGAGTGTGGTACAACTTTTCTGAGTGTATCTCTTTACATAGTTTTCACTCTTGAATCATAAAAATGTATAGCCTAATTTAAAAATGTTTAATTTTTTAAAAAATTAACTCACAGAAGAATAGCTCTGTATTCTTACCTGAGAAGGTACACTTTTTGGTGGCTCTATGCGTATAGAAGGATCCCACTCTCCTGGAGGTAGGACAGTTACTTGATCTAAAAATTCATCAATTCCAGATAAGAGGTCATTTCTGTCTTTTGCTTTATAGGCTACATCATGAAAAATCTAAAGGAAAAAAACATTGAGTAAAAGGATTTTACATTTGAAAGAAAATTCTACAAATAGTAAATCCAGTTTATATATCATAAATAAATTCACAATAAGGTATACACCCCACCCTGGGTAACAACTATAAAAGGTAACCCACAATTAGTATTATCAGATGAATTAACAAAAACAAACAAAGAAAATAGCAATATGTTAAGACAGAACAATTTAAAAAAAAAGAAAATGCAGCATGGTAAATACTCTTTAATTCATTATGAAAAAATAAACTACGGCTTGTCATTCTACTTCTATGACACTTAAACGTCATTTATCCTAAGAGAAAAATCATGAATAGACAAAAAATTTTACTTACATAATTTAATGACAAATATTAACTACCAGTTACCTACTATTTACTGGGCACAATACTAAGCACTGTGAACAGTAAAATGGATACAGGGAAGGTGAAGTCTCTATACTCACGAAACTTTTTTTCTAGAGAGAAATATAGTGAAACAAGTAATTAAGTAAATATATACATATGTAAATGCAGGTAATGAATGCTCTGATAAAAATAAAGTGGGGTACGGAAAGGGAAGCTGATGGGGAAGAACAAAGTGGTCAGGGAAGGTCCCTCAGAGGAAGTAATATGGTAGGAAAAATCTGAACGAAACGAGGGACAAAACCATACAAAGGGTGGGATGGGTAGAGGGGAGAAGTAGACAAATACTCAGGCAGAGGTCCCGGCAATTGTAAATGTCCAAAGGCAGTAATGAGCATAATACACCTGAAGAACAAAAAAGAAGCTACTGTGGCTGGAGCAAAGTTGGGGAGAAAAGTGAGGAGTGGTATCAGGATGTAAGCTTTAAGAAGCAAGCAGAGGCTGGCGCAGGTAAGACCTATTAAGACAGTGGTGAAGAGTTTAAATTTAACCCAAAATATGCAACAGAAAGTCACTGATTACTTTTTAATCAAGGAAATGATATATTCAAATTGGCATGTTACTGGCAGTGTAGAGGAAAAAAACTAAGATAAAGACCTATAAAGGCCACTTGACTAGACAAAGAAAAGAAGATAAAAGATTCTAAGCCAGAGAAATAGCAGTAGAGATAACATGGATATGACAGATTAAATGCAAATCACATTGAAGAAGTAAATCCAACAGAATCTGGTGACTGACTGGTTAAGACAAGAGAGAGAAATGAGGTAAGATTCAGATAAGAGGGGTTTCAAATACCCGAGGAACACACAGTGGAGATGCCTAGCAAGTTCATGATTACAAAGTACTCTCCCAAAGAGAGACACCAATCCTGATCAATATGCAGGCCATGGTCAAAGATAAGGTCCCCAAATGGGAAAGAAATATTTATAGGGAAACAGACGAAGTTCTGAAAAAAAACAAAAGAAATGATATGCTAAAATCTAGAATAGAAAAAATTTCAAAATCTCAGGAAGGTGGTCAATAATTTCAAAATTAAAAAACAAATAAAAAGTAGCCATTGATCCTGACAAAAAGACCTTAAGACCATACCAGATTTAAGAATGAATACAAGATAAAATAACACAGACAACAAGGATAATTTTTTAAGCTTCACTATGAAGGAAAGGAGAATTATAATTTGATATATATTATATACTTTATAATAAGTGTCTACTTCATAGAGATTTTTTTTTTTTGTCTTTTTTTCCGTGTCCGGCAACGGATCACAACCCTCAGTGTTGCCCCCGTACCGGACCGGGGACCGGCAACAGGATCGCAAGCCTCGGTGCTGCTCCCGCGCCTCGCTCAACCAGTGAGCGGGAGCCGGTCTGTATGTGGGATCTGAACCCTCGGACGGGAGCGCCGCCGCGCTTCCCAAGCGGCGCACTATCCAGTGCGCCACCGGGCCGGCCCCTTCATAGAGATTTTAGTGTATTTAATTACCTCATCTGTCATGAGAGTGGCTATTGATCTTCCAATTTCATGGTACTGTGGTGCCTTGCCGGCTGGACCCAATAAGAGAAACAAAAACCTAAGGAAATATTAAAATATACAGATTTAAGAATAAACAACATATATACAGACAAATCTAGGCAACCATTTAAAAAATAATAATTCAAATGTAAACACAGACACAACATTCAGACCTCTTTTCCATTCCTCCACAACAATCACTAAAAAAAGATTGCAACTCTGACCAAAGAAGATCACAAAACCAAAAAAGGCATCATAATTAACCTTCTACCAAGTTATCACTTCACATCTTCCTTAGGGTAAAACAGCAATTAAGGAATTGAGTGTTTTACATTGAAAGTTCCCATGTTCTATGTCTTTTTGGATTAAACAAATAAATCTGGTCTGTATTGAAAATAAAAAGTAAATTAGTATATAAAATGAACAGCAATCCATTAAGTACTTGAAAATAAAGTTTGCCAAATAAAATAGTTAAGAGTATACATAAAAAATTCACAATCCCTCAAACTATGCTTCTGAATAAAAATTATAATATTGTAATTATGGGATTTTAGTCAACTAACCCCTTTGGAAGCGACGGAGTTTGGATGTGTTGTCCTCCCAGAACTCATGTGGAAATCTGATCCCCAATGTGGTGGTGTTGGGAGCTGTTTGAGTCATGGGGCGGTTCCCTCACGAATGGATTAATGCTCTCCCTGGGAGTTGGGAGTAGTGAATGAGTTCTCACTTTATTAGGTCCCAGGAGAGCTGGTTGTTTAAAAGACCCTGGCACCTCCCCTCTCTCTCTTGCTTCCTCTCGCCATGTGATCTGCTTGTACCCACCAGCTGCCTGCCACGAGTAGAAGCAGCCTGAGGCCTGCATCAGATGCAGCTGTCCCAGAATCATAAGTCAAATAAACCTCTTTTCTTTATAAACTACCCAGTCTCAGGTATTCTGTTATAGCAACACAAAGCAGACTACATAGGAAGGAAAAATAATTTTTACTTACAACTCCAAATTTAAAATCAAATCTCGTATTATTCTAGTAACTAAATCAAAAGTACTTAACTCCCTACTTGGTAACACTATAGTAAAATATTCACACTAGACCAAATTGGATTTATCCTCCTACTTTATAAGAATTCATATATGAATTCCTGGAATTATTTTTCTTACATATCTTAACACTGCACCCTTAATGTGACTGACTGAGTAAAGCAAATTAAAAATAAGTACATTTCCAACAGGTTCCTATTAAGTCTATAAAAATAGTTAAGAAAAAACATTTTAAAAATTAGTCTCATTTACAATTAAGTTTCTACAGTCAACAGCTAACAAACTGATTACCCTTTATGATAGGGTTTGGATGTGTGGTCCCCACCAAAACTCAGGTGGAAATCTGATCCCCAATGTGGCAGTGTTGGGAGCTGTTTGAGTCATGGGGGCGGATCCCTCAATGGATTAATGCTCTCCCTGGGGAAAGGGGTCCAAGTGAGATCTCACTCTATTAGTTCCTGCAAGAGCTAGTTGTTTAAAAGACCCTGGCACCTCCTCTCTCTCTCTTGCTCCTCTCACCATGTGATCTGCTTGTACCCGCTGGCTGCCTGCTACTTTCCGCCATGACTAGAAGCAGCCTGTGCAGCTGTCCCGAATCACCAGCCAAATAAACCTCTGTTCTTTATAAATTACCCAGTCTCAGGTGTTCTGTTATAGCAACACGAAATGGACTAATACACTTATAGCACAACTTGCTAATTATTCTTAATATTTACTCATAATATACACTCAACAGAAACTTCTGGTCAGGTCAGAACAGTCTTTTGTCTAATTCAAAGGAATGACTACATGTAATCAACCCTATGAGGTATTATCCTTATTTTATAAATGAAACTTATAAAATTTAATTCAGGCTTGAACCTACTCCCATGAAAAGGATGTGGCAGAGAAAGGATTAAGCTCCATTCCCTCTGACTCCAGTGCCTGAAATGAACATTAGGTAACACATCTAAAAAGATGAACTGTTTTTCACACCAAAGCTCTTAAGATACCTAACTTCTTATACAGGTACAAATGCAAAGGATTTCTTTAAAGGATGATGCTTATCTTATTTTATTCCCTTAGTTCCATAACTCTTTTATGCTCTGATACTCAAAGCATTCGGAATAATGACTGAAAATTAACAATTAAAATGAGCTTTTACTACATTAAGCAACATGCTTGTTTGTTTAATGGATAAAAAATTTTAGGTTTTGAACATGCAGAAAGAATGTTTTTTGGTTTTTTTTTTTTTGTCTTTTTTACTGACCGGTAACGGGATCGCAACCCTCAGCGCTGCGCCCGCACCGCGCCTAGCCAGTGAGCGGGAACCGGTCTCCACATGGGATCCGAACCCTCGGTGGGAGCGCCGCCGCACTCCCAAGCAGCGCACTCTCTAGTGCGCCACTGGGCGGGTCCCAGAAAGAATGTTAATTGGAACTAACTCTTTACCTCGTAGGAACAGGGACTTCAGTCAACCCTGAAAGGAGGACAGCAGGAGCCAGTCTCACAAACGCAATTATAGGTCTTTCCAAAAAGTCTACTTCTCCCACCAGCACATTCGATGCCTCAGCTCCCGTAGGAATTTTTCTCATGAAATTCATGTCAACCTATTGACAAATAAGTAACACTTAAAAATAAAAGTTTGTATGATATTTATAAAACTATTTAGAGGGAAATAGGAAAGAAAAAAATATTTTTTAAGACTACTAAATGCTAAACAAAACTTATGATCTAATGTGTATATAAATGCCAAAATTTTCACAAATATAGAAAATGTAGACAAATACAAGAAAAGCAAGCAAAACACAGCAATACTACTCCTCTAACTGTCACAACCTTTACTACTTCAGAGATCTAAATAATCAAACACATAAACTTCAGAAAATTTTCAATGAATATAGAACTATTCATTAAAAACTATTAAAGACAAGTATATAGTTCACAAACAATGGTTCATGAAATTATACACAGTGCTCAAAAACATTCATTTCATTATTTTCTATTATTTAATCTTAGAAATGCACTAATCCCTACATATTTTTATAAGTCCCCCTTTAAAAAAAAAAACACACACACGCACAACTCTGGGCATTCCCCAGCATCTCCAATAACAGAGAAAAAATTGTCATTCTTATTTAAAATTACAATTAATAGCCCTTATTGGTATAAATATATGGAAACACTATAACAGTGAAATTTAGTTTTCTGTGTATAATTACAAGGAAAAGGTTACAAACATGATGTTAAAGTATTTGAACTTCATTTATACACAGTTTCACACAAGTCACTAAACAACCACTTACAGGGCTATCTATTAAAAATAAAACCAGCACTTACAGCGGGCCTCTTGAGTCCCACACCCAGTGTGCCACAACTACAGTGCCAGGAGGCAGACTCCTGCCCGACAGGAGACAAGGAGGTGTATACAAGGATAGGCCAAGTAAAAAAAAGTAAAACTGTGACAGAGGAACAAAAGTAAACGGCAACTGCCATGTCTAGCGGAGATCTACAATTTATATTCTACTAATTTATTTATTTAATAAGACTAAATTGCAATTTAGGTACTTTTCACTGATTTGAAATAACAGAAGCACCAGTAAAAAATATGATCAAGTTAGAACAGAATTACAAGTACAACAGCCTTTCTGTACAGCCATCCCTAATGCAAGGATTTCTATAATTTTAGAGTAGGAAGCTCAGCAAAGCTGTAACACAAATCATTCAAATTCCTTTTCTATAAAATATGACTCGTAGATTTTGCATCATAGAAAACCAAATCTTCCTTGACATAATCACATTTAACAAAAAGTCTAGCACTGTCAGTATCCTGTAGCAAATTAATATTATTGATAAAATTACAGTGGCTACATAGAATTGTTCATAAGAAGCATTCACACAGTACACTTTAAATTCAGTTGTAATTTGAACTTAGTAGTTTTTTTGCCGTTCTCTCATTATAAGTTTTTTTTTTCCCCCCTATTTTAACTAAATACTCATCTACCAAAACAAAAAAACCATACTTGAAATCGTTTTGGTTTTTTTTAAATCCATGCCTTTACCTACCCCATGGGAAAGCACCGTAATGTTTCCCAGTGGCATTCCACAAAGTACTGACACCATAAGACAGTAATTCTGGGATTGCATTGTAGCCCAGGAAAGCTGAATCACTAATGCTGTAACACCATTCCCAGAATTAACCTTTCTAGTGCCAATAGTTCCAGAACAAATGACTTTAGTTCAAAAGGTATTGAAGTTTCATGATATCTATGGGGAGGTATAGATGGAAATAACACAATATTCATACTCTTTTTCAGAATTTCTAAAACTAGTAAGTGTGCAAAGTTATTTAAGTACTTAGAGATTAACTGTAACCTTTCTCACAATTTCTGACCTTACATTAACATTTCATAAGCATCACATGCAGGTTTACAAGCACCAGTCTACTAAAAAATTATTATAATCAATGCTAAAGCCACAAATTGCTAGTTATTTTCTCAATAAGAATAATTATGAAAATTTATAGTTAATGATAGAATTACCTTGCTGAAATCAACAGTACTATTTTCTCTGCTTCCTCCACTTCCATTACCTTTAATTTCTCCACTTTTATTATTGTCCAAGTTTCCAGGAGCAGACTGTGGAGAGGCCAAAATACCTGTATTTAAGAACAAATTCCAAATCGGTAAGGAGAAAATTCACTTTGCAACCTGAATCTGCTCATATCCTGAAAGTGAGTTTATTATAAAAGCAAATGTGCAAGGTAAAAAAAAAAAAAAACAAAGTGCCAGTGTTAGTGCCATATGCAAAACTAGAATAACATTATAAGCAATATTCAAGCTATACAGTTTAAGATTTAAAATAATTGTAATTTACAAAAATGGTGGCCTTTTACAAAAAGAAAAAAAGTGTGTGGGTGTGGAACCACAAAAGATGGAAGAAAGACCCAAGTCTGATTACCATTACAACTACATGGGGAATATACAGTACTTTCAACTTATCTAACACACATATGAATTGTATAGAGTTTAACAATGCCTAACTACACTTAGCATGTTTAAACCAATAATAATATAAATTCTCTAATAAACCCTAAGTGTAACTCAGAAAATTTAAGAGCTACACCAACTACATGTAGGTTGAAATACTAATACTATAATCTTCCATAATCCTAACAGTTTCCTCGACAATTTTCATTTGTCTTCAGTGGTATTTATGTCTGTAATGCCTACTGTCATTATTCCTAGGAAATATAACTTCAAAATATAATAAGAAAGTTTTTACAATATAAATGCAAACAGTAAAGGTTTTATTATCAAAGGGATCTGTGTTCAAATACCCATTCTCTGTCACTCCGTACCTATGTGACTTTCAGTAACTCATTCAACCTCTAAAATTCAAACAAACCCCTAAAGTTAGCTTGTTTGGATTAGACATGATAGTTGTTTGGATTGCAAATTATAGATACATGTTCAAGCATTAGTAAACTCATTTAAAGAGACACTCAACAGCAACATTTCACAACAATAAAAAAAACCTAAAAACACAGCTAAGTATGTGACCAATCATGATTACTATAAATTCTGCAAAAAGTTCAAATCTCGAAAATTTAAAATTTAAGTACATTACACAGACTTCTACCATTAAATGCATCTCATTTTTTTCAAAACATCAAAGATTTTCTAGTCCAAGAATACAAACTATTAATACCCAAAACACTGAATATCAAAGGGGGCAAAGGTACTGAAATATAACAGATTCACTTTTAGTTTTAACTGTGCTACTCACAACAATCTAGTGACACACAGAAATTTGGTTAAAATTTGTTTTGTAGTTAGATTCTATAAACTTTGAAGTTAATATCAGTAATCAAGTTCCAGAATTTTTAAGCACATCAGATAGACTTAATGTATCTAAGAGAGCTTTCATTTTTGTAGAATAGAACTAATGAATATTGAAACTAAGTCATGTGAGTTTATAGCTTAAACTCAATGACAGAAGACTTGTGATATCCAATTCTCTGTTAAATACGTAAACTAGGATGTTACTGTGACCCAGAAATCTTAGTATAAAAAGCATCTGCAATCTATTTAGCCATGTGTTCATTCTGTGAAAGTTAAACAATTCTGAAATTTAAAATGTTTCCTAAGATGTAACTCATTTTTTACAATGTTAGCACAGCATGGAAGTTACTAAGCTTCCTTTTCTTTGGGCTTTGTTTTTAAACTTCCAAAATTGAGTCCCTTCCTTGCCCAAGAGGGGGGAAAAAAAGTTAACAAGTATTTTTTCAGCGGCTTCCACCTACTCCCACACAACAAAATCAATAGTTTTTTAAACTTCCAAAATTGAGTCCCTTCCTTGCCCAAGAGGGGGGGAAAAAAGTTAACAAGTATTTTTTCAGCGGCTTCCACCTACTCCCACACAACAAAATCAATAGTATCATTAAGGCCCTGGTGGCAAGTGCAACTAAGCATACATACTTCTAACAGCTAAATGTATTCAACCTGTAGATGTATAATCAAAATACATAAAGCAGTTTTCCAGAATAATCCCAGCTGCTCGATTTGCAAAAAAATAGTGGAATGAGGAGAAGGCTGTGGAAGGAAGTAAGGATATGGTAGGAATGGGAAGAAGAAATGATGTGGAACTCAATACTGACAAAGCTAGAAGATATAACCTTTAGTCACTTGTTTAACCTAGTTATCTTGAACCTGTTCCTTTTTCAAAACTAGCTTGCCAGCTGCATGTTAGAGTCTGTATGATTAACCTGCTTACGTGGTCCTTCCCAGCTTCAGATATGTTAAAGATGTTTTCTCAATCAGTTGAGAAAGTAAGCCTCTCCATTAAATTCCTAATGCACAGAATTAAATGAATAAATCACCAAAAAATAAAGCTCTCTGTCATTAGAACAGATAACTCTGAAGGACTCTATTTCTTTACTTTAAGAGAACAGAACAAAAAAAAAAAAAACATATCAATCAGTATGTATATTTTATTAAAATCAACCATGAGATTTAAAAAATCATATTCTGATAAATCAATTATTTTGCACCTATATTTTTTTCCAGGTAGCAAATCTAGCTAGAAAAAGGTAAAACAAAGATAACAGTATTCTGTCATTAAAATTTTTAAAGTAGAAGTAGTTAGAACAGTGGTTCCTAACCAGGGAAGATGATGCCCCCCCCCAAGGGACATCTGGTGATATATGAAGACATATTTGGTTGTCACAACTGGGGGATGCTGCTGGCAGCTAGTGGGTAGAGGTCTGAGATGCTGCTAAACATCCCACAAAGCACAGGACTGCTTCCTCTGACACAACCATCTAGCAAAGAATTAACCAGAGCAAAATGTCAATAGTGCCAAGGATGAGAAACACTGAGTTAGAAAAAACAGATACTTACAACTATTAAAAATGAATTCACTTCTTTTACATATAATTATCCTCCAAAGACTAACTAATGAGAAGCGCCACTTCCTTTTTTATTATGGGTATGCACAAATAATAATTCCATGACTCAAAAACTGATGGCAGTCTCTCCAAAATTATGCTGAAGGCACCTTCCTCCTCTAAGATAATATCAGGCTGCAAGAAAACTCCATTGAAGTTTGTAGGTACTCTAAGCACCAAAGGAAATTAAACAGGGAATAATGTAAAGCTGCCCCTATTTACTCAGATGCCATTTGTTATTAACACGTCTTCTTAAACAGTAATTATGAGCTTTTTCTTGTCTTTTGAAATTCTCTCTTCTCTCCATTCTAATTTATTCTCTTCAGAGAGGCTGATAAATCGAACCACAAAAAAACTCATGGGGAAAAAAACAAAACAAAACTTGTGTTCCTCGATTCTCAGTTAATTGACTCTCAGTTAATTGCTCCTTTTATCTCCTTATCATGGCCTAACAAGCCATCATGAATCTATGTGTCCCTGCTTTCCTATATAAAATGTATAGTCCCTTATTATTCACAATATAGAAGCTGATAATCCAAACAAGAAATATTTAGTGTTACTGATCAATATGATATGGGTAAAACAAATGGAAAGACGTAACTTTAAAATCATTTTTATTCAAAGAAAAATAGTAAATCTTGCTAGTTCTTTTTAATTAAGGGGGCTGATTATTTCTAGGTAATCACTTCTACTTTCCTTCTTTATGTTGTTACCTCATTATTAGCATTTATCATTTTCACGAACTAGAAAAACTCAGAATAAAATACTATACTACGGATTTTGTTGTAAGTAGACCTGAGTTCAAATTCTCGCTCTGGTCATTTATAGTCAATATCTCTAAAGTCGTCTTCTCATTTGTAAAAGAGGGAGAACACCAATTTCAAATTGTTACAAGAATTAGAAATATGATATGAGAAAAGCACCTATCACTGTGTATGGAACAAACTATGAAACAATGGTATGAAACAATGGTAGCTATAACTATGATCATAATTAACGTTAAAATGACTTAGCCACAAAACTTCCATTTGTACTTCTAAAAGCTTTTTTGCAACTACAATGAGTTTTGATTAAATGTATTTGGTGTGTCAGGGTAAAGTGAATAGACAGAAAAGTTTTTCATATAGTGGTAGGAACACAAGGATTTGTAGTCAGAGGATCTACACTGTCACTCACTAGCTGTATGACCTAAGGAAAGTTAACTAACTTCTCTGAGTCTGACTTTCTTAAAATGGGTGTGTTTATCTAACTTACACAAATGTGTATACACATTAAACAGGCTAATTTAATGACTAAGCTATCAACTGAAGTATTAGATATTATCAGTATTTTGGAGAAATGTAATAATACTTACATGATTAATACCATTAGTTAGCATTAGTACATGTCACACTGATGCTTAGATGAAATGAGTAAAACATATTCACTAAAACATACATACTTCATACAAATTAGGTGTAAAAATACATGTGCATAAATGTACATAGAATCACCAAAAACATAATTTATAGCCCTTAATTAAGAGGAGTTATAAACCTTTTATCCACTAAGAAATAACTTTTCTAATTCACAAACAAAACAAAATCCTAGCCATAACTACAGGAACTCCAGTCCCGAAAATTTCAACGTAAATTTGTATTAAAGATAGATATGGCATTACATTTAAAAAAAAAAAAAAAAAAAAAAAAATAATGTCTACTCTACAATATGATATACTATTTTTGAAATAATGATGATTTCAGGCACTCATTAGAGAACCTCAATCTCCTAAGAGTCAAAATGAGAAAAAGAACATTCGATTCTATCATTGTTAGAAAGGATGTGCTACATTCTTTGAAGAAAAGCATCAAATAGATAAAAGGCACATCACCTCACTGTAACTTATGTACAACATGTGTTCATTCATCTTATGAGTGAACTTCACAAGAAAAAAAGCCACAATTCTAAAAAAATATATATATATATATGGCAAATTAAAACATTAATTATAAAAAATTTGTTTTCCTGAAACATTCAAATGCCTTGACCTCTAAAATCTCAATGAAAATTTTGGAAAGGGCTTAAATTATATGTACTCTTCTCTGTAGCCTTTTGTAACTTAAATTTTTAGTAATTCTGGTTTTTTCTACAATATAACAAAGAAAAAAAACATGCAGAAGTTAAAATAAATTATAAGCATTATCTACATATGCTGCTCAAGCTATGTGCTGAAAGGCATTCCAAGTGCAAGTGATCCAGAGGCAGAAAGCACCACACATGGAGATTTTGGATAGTTGCCTGGAGTTAAGTCAACATTTTCCTCATTCTTCTGCTCCTGGCCTTCTAAGTCTTCCTCAGGCGGATGAATTACTACTGTGGGAATACCATGACTGGCAGGTGAAACCAGGAGTTCTGGGGCCTGAAGCTGACTCTGTTGGGAACTTCTGGAGGTGAGGCGACTGCTGCTAGGGCTGGAAGGAGGACTGTTCTGAGGGGTGGGTACTGGGGTTGTACACCTTGAGACTGCAGGGGTTCCAGCTCTTGAAGAAGGAAGAAGATGACTGAGAAGAAGAGATAAAGGCGATTCTCCTCTCAATGAAAGGTTTGAGGCAGACAGACCTGTTCGCAAAGAGTGGCGGGAGGCTGAAAGGCCTTCCCCTGAGATAAAACAAATAAATGAAAAATGATGAAGTTCACTGCAAAAGGCAAATAGAGACACAAAAAAATTAATTTTCACTATAAACTGCAAGCTTATAAAGCCCAAAATTTCAAATTCATGCTGTGAGGGTTGGCATGTCAATCAAGTTTAGAAAGTCACTGAAAAGTTGCTTAAACTGTAATTAGTTCCCTGAAGGTATATTAAAAAAATAAATAAATAAAACCAAACCCAAAAACAATGTTAATGACAGATGGTGGGAAGACAATATTCTATTAGAAATTAGAATGAACAATAGTGTGACATTCTTAAAAAGAACAATACCAAGTTGCTGCTTAAATTAATAATGAATGAGAATATAACACAAAAATAATCTAAGAATAAGAATCCAACCAAACTTACCAAACTTATATTTAGTGTATTTCTCCTATGTTGTACCAAATAGCTACAGATAATTATCTCCCACCAGAAAAGTCCACATTAACATTACCAAATAACTTCTAAGTTAAAACTGACATTAAAAATTTATACAATAAGGGCCGGCCCGGTGGCGCGCTGCTACAGTGCGCCGCTTGGGAGTGTGGCGGCGCTCCCGCCGAGGGTTCGGATCCCACATACAGACCGGTTCCCGCTCACTGGCTGAGCGAGGTGCGGGCGCAACACTGAAGGTTGCGATCCCGTTGCCAGTCCGGTCCGGTGCGGGCGCGACACTGAGGGTTGCGATCCGTTGCCGGACACGAAAAAAGACAAAAAGGAAAAAAAAAAAAAATTATACAATAAGTCAACAGGACACCACCACCTACTGGTGGTACTCTCAAAATTGAAAAACATAAGACAAATTATAGAAATTTTTTTTTAAAAGAGAATCATAATGTGAATTTTAAAGGACACATACCAGTAAGCTCTCTAAAGATATTTATGAATGAATAAATCCTAAAGTATGCTCACTTCTAAGATAGCAGATAAATTTAACCAAATACATACAATCTTTAACTAGATAAGAATAAAGTATTTCTTACCAACAGCAAAAAGGCAGTAAGTCTAGATATTTCTAATATTTCAAAAGGTCATGCATATTTATACTTAAAATACCCGATATTTCTATTAAATGTAGTTTAAAAAAATTAACATTCTTTTTTCATGAAAAACATAAGAAATACAAAAATCAATCCCATATGGCCTAAGAAATCAAAGCTATATGCTCAAGAGATCCCAGAAATGTTAAAAGTGAAGATTAACTTTTAATCCATAAACAACCACCATTTAGTTAAAAAATGAGCTACAAGTAGAAAAACTATTACAACAAAATAACATGCTAAAATGGCATTTAAAAGAAAATAGCCATTGTCTTAAAATTAAAAGAAACCAAACTTTTTACCATTGCATATAAGGAATAAAGATTTAATAGGGGTCCCTTTGGGAAAATGAAAAGTGAAAAAGATGAAAAAGACAGGTAAAATGTACCATCCACGGCTTGCTTTTAACTTGAACTTAGGTCCACAAGAGATGCTCTTTTTCTTAAGCTTCCTTAAATATACCAAGGCATAATTGTAAACAGATGAAAAAGAATTTTAATGGTCAAACAGTCAAAATAAGTACCTCACACTGACCTACAAATGATGATTACTGTCAGCTTTGGGTAAATTAAATCCTATCACCTACGGCTGTTTGCTTGTAGGATACCTAAAGCTATATTATTATTTCAGGGACAAGAAAGATGAGCAGAAAGACAATGTTCCGTACTCCATTCCCAGTCACTGTAAGCCTCATAAGCATTGAGTAATAGCAGTAGCTAGAGGCAATTGCTAGAGGCAACAGTGACCCTCAAGTTACTACAATCCTTTGCACCTGGATTCTCCAGAACCCTTGTTGATGAACCCTCTGCTACATACAGAAGAAAATAAGAAAGCAAAACCTCCAAGTGTGCCAGCCTTAAGACACTAACGGGAGTAAATGGCTTCAAAAACACTGTCTTCCCATGTCCCACCGAACCTGCCACTAACCCCTGTGAATGACAATGGAGAGCTGGAATTTGTGAACCTGGGTCTGAGCCATGCTGAACATCTTAGAAGACACCCTTGGTGTAAGATAGCAACAGTCATAAAAACCTTTCACAAACTGTATAAACAAAGAGCAGCAAAATCAGCAAACCAACCCCAAAATACTTGTTTATGCCCAGAAAATAATGTATATTCAGAAGACAAAAAAATCATCAGGAAAATCTAATAAAGATATAAAGGTTCAAACCCATGATTTAGATTAAACCAAAATTACAGATCTTAATTTAGGTCTCTTTAATCAATTATACAACGAGAAACCTTGAACACAAATGAAAAGGCAGGAAGGAGAAGTAATTCAGGGTTAGGTACAGCAACAGTGTTTAAATATTACTCAAATGAAATCAGTTTGCACCATTTTAACAGAGTAAATCCTTAATTTTTTTCATCCATCTGATTGCTACAAATGATTCTGTCATGTTATAAAAAAAGATATTTCAGAAATGATATTTTTAAAAGGCACAAATATGTAGTATTATATTTTTAAAAAGAACAAAAAATATTATAAAATTATCTGGAAAGACCATCTTTCTTTCCCCAAATGTTAATTGTAACCTACTGGAATGCTGTTAGAGTAGAAGTGTTAGCAAAAATTGGATGCCACAACTTATCTCACCATTCCTTTCAAGCAAGTGAGGGTCAGAATGTTTCTTGCCTATATCTGCAAAAGATCGGACAAGGGGAATCCGACTGGTGAATCTTTTCTCGTTCTGATGATGATGTCTCTTCAGAAGAGCTTCTCTGACATTCTCTCGTATGGTCTCATCTAATTGGCCAGAGGCTATCATGTTGTCTAATACCATATCTATTCAAAATAAAAAAATAATGGTTATTATTATGAAATAAATACTTAGATGGCTATAATATAGAAATAAACAAACTGTGACACCTCATAACAAAAATTTGATCCTTAAATAGCCCTAAAAAGTATTATTCTCTTTTAATACTAAGTAATGTATGCATAAAGATAAATATGAACATTATCCATTCAACAAAAATGAACAAATTACAGAAAGACCCTTTACCATTATTTATAAAAAGGCTACTGCTATACCCCAATAGCCTTCCTATAGTTGAAAGTGCTTTCCTACAGGGATGCAACAAATTCTAGTAAGCTGAATATTCAATATTAGTTTCCTAAGATGTGATGGTATTTTATTGCCTCTCCTCATATTTTTCCCCAAAACAGTTCCATTAACATTTACTGAGTGCCTACTATGTGCTGGGGGTATAGCAGTTAATAAAGTTCTATTCTCACTCTCCAGAGGTAGAAAAACCAGTGAACAAGTAAAGAGATAAAATATTGCAGAGGTAATAAATTCTAGGAAGAGGAATCAATTGGGAAGCTATGGGGAGTAGGAAAATTGATGGCAATACTTTTCTTTTTTGGGGGGTGGTTACAGGTATCTGAACTCTTGATCCTGGTATTGGCAATACCATTTTATATATTACTGTGGTTACTGAACTACTTTAAATTTAGAAAATACAACTACGTATAAATATTTTTAAACGATGGCATTAACTTGAGATAAGAGTCAAATTTTCAAAGCTATGATGAGATTACTCTGGGGAAAAAAAAAAAAAAGACTGCAGGGACTAGACTAACAGGTAAATTATAACATTAACACAATGACTATAGTATACCATACAAGTGAACACAAGATTATACAACATTTACTAAAAGTACTGTATGTTATTACATGATAATTGCAAATGTCCAAATTCAATATTCCTAACTCTAACTCAGTTTTTCAGTCATTCCTGTTAAGACAAGAAGTAAGGACTTAGACAATTTAAAGATTTGCAGCACATGGTCAAATTTAAGAAATTAGGTAAAACTGAAGTACTATTTGTAGCCCGAGAAATTCTAACAAGCTTGTAGTTCTCTTGATGACCAAATACTACAGATGTTTTGTTTTTCCCTGAAAGCAATCTAGAATGATAGTCAGACTACCAAATTATTACCACTGAACTTGGTTTTGAGCAATTTTTGTCACCAACCATTGCTGTTAGTTTCCACTTTCTACTTCTACATTATCCTTCAAAAGTCTCTTTTCTTCACTTCCATTGCTATACCTACACAGTTCAGGTCATCATCATTTCTCGCTTAGACTATTCCTAGAGAATAGCTGGCCTACTTCCTTCTAATTTCTTCCCAATCTAAAGCCACCCTACATTCTGTTACCAGAATGATCTTCCTAGAGATCCTAAGAAACCATCAAGACCGCCAAAATGCCTATCAAATAAACTCTAATTTCTTAACCTAAAGTCACAATATATCTCTAACTTATTTTCCCAATATCTTCCCTTCCACTACTCAAGAAATCTGCATACTCACACAGAATGGAACTGGCTTTCCTGAGATTCAGACCTGTCTATACAAGGGTACTTTCACAAGTTCACGGACAAATGGAATCGAAAGATAATACAAATCTTTCCATGAACTTTTTGAAGTACCCTCATACTTCTGTAGACTTTCTTCCTGGTCTTCTTTCTCCTTCAAATACTTTCTTTTATCTTGTCCTTTGGTCCTATATGTTCAAATTCTAGGAATAAGTTGTACCATTAATGTTTTACGTGGATATTCTCTGAATACCACGGTCCACAAAACAAAGAAACAGCAAACTGTTTCCTCATGAACTTCCAGAACACATTCCATATTTGCTTAACGCACTAGTCACTCTCTTTTTGATACTACAGTTATATCTGTCTAATTTAACCTCCTAGTCTCCAAACTTATCAAAGTGTATCTTTATATGTCTGTTCCTCGTACTGCCCTACACAGAATACAAACTCAACATATAAGTGAATGTCTAAAATTCCACTTTCTTTAATTATCTCCAATTTTAGTACACCTTAAAATATAAAAAAGTCAATTTATTACAACCTGCTATTTCATCTAGAGTGCTTGCTCTCATATCCAGCATGACTGTTCCATTTAGGATGCAGCTCCTTAGTTCAAAAAGACTGTGCAAAGAGAGAGTTGCCACATAAGGTTTACTCCATCGGTCACCACCATCTTCAACATCCTCTTCAAATTTCAGCCATCTAAATGCATAATATATAAAAATATTTTATAAGTAATGAAGATTCCATTTGTTTATTTTAATGTGATGAACAAAAACTTGTTCTTTTAAAAAGAAATGAAAACTACCACCAAAACAAAATTTGGTTACAAACACGTTTTCAGAAATTAGGATGATGGTCTACAATAGCTATAGTCACAAGTTTCCTTTGTAGTTCCTTTTTCTATTCTAGCTATCACAATAAGTCTGAAAAACGAACTATGGGATTTCACATAGTTTCCACTTCTAATTCTCTAACTTAACATTTTAAATACAGAAGATTTTGATTTTTCAAACTTGTTTCTTTTATTAAAGACTTATTAAAATCTACAATAGCATAATTCCTTTTGTATTATATTAAAGTACAAAGATTTACTTAAGGAAACAAATTTAATAAAGAAAAAAATTAAAAGAATTTCCACACTTTGACAATGAAATTCTCTGCATGTTGCTTTAATGCACCAGACATCTCTCATAATTTCAATTTAATATTGTCATTAAAAAGGAAAAATCAAGTAAAGCCAATTAAAAAAATGAGACTCAGCAGTATTACCTGGCAGTTTCTTTCCATTCATATTCCTCTCCATCTCTATAACACAATTCATCCATTTCCGTGAAGAGATCATGGGGAATATGTTCTTCATCATCATCTTCAGTACCAAGGATAAACTGAACTCTCTGGGATGGTGTGTCTTGAGAAAATAAGAATTTAAAATCACTCAAAATTTTTCTCAGGCATTCAAAGACAAATTCACAGTTTTTTTGTTTTTGTTTTTTTTTTGTCCTTTTTGAGACCGGCCGTACCGCACTCAGCCAGTGAGCACTGTGAGTGCACCGGTCATCGCTATATAGGATCCGAACCCGCAGCGGGAGCGCTGCCGTGCTCCCAGCGCCGCACCCTCCCAAGTGCGCCACAGGCTCAGCCCCAAATTCACAGTTTTGAAAGTGAAATACTTTTGCTATAAACAAATATATTTCATTGAAACTTTTTTTTAATTATTATTAAAATGTTATAATTCTGGAAGGAAACAAGGGCCAAAAATCCAGGGGAAAAACAGAGTATCACAGAAAGAACACCTCTGTAGAGAAAAGAGAAAAATTATGTTAAAAATAAGTCAATCTAGGGCCAGCCCGGTGGCGCACTGCTACAGTGCGCCGCTTGGGAGCGCGGTGGCGCTCCCGCCGAGGGTTCGGATCCCACATACAGACCAGTTCCCGCTCACTGGCTGAGTGAGGTGCGGGCGCAACACCGAGGGTTGCGATCCCATTGCCGGTCCCGGTCCGGTACGGGCGCGACACTGAGGGTTGCGATCCGTTGCCGGACACGAAAAAAGACAAAAAGGAAAAAAAATAATAATAATAAGTCAATCTAAACAAACAAAAATTAGCAAAATCACAAAACATGGAACGCTATGCTCAAAGACAGAACTTTTTCCTCACCAAAAATATATGGAAATAGATAAAATAGCATATTTAAAATACAGCTAAGTTCAAGAGTAAAAAAAAGAAAATCTCCAAGTTCCAAAAAAATAATGAAAAAACTCAAAGCTAAAGGTATACAGAAACTGACTTTCCTACCATCATGGAAACAAAACTGTTAGCTGAGGTCTGGGAGGTAAAACAAGTCACTGCAAGAAACAGATACCCCACTCACGGCATCTTAAATTAAACTACGTGTGTGGTACAGGATTCCCAAACAAAGAGATTAGCATAAATATTAGTCTAGGACATTAAAAGCCACAGGGCCTCTGTATAAACAAACAAGCAAACAACCACAAGTAACAATTAAAAACAAAATCAAACTCTATGGAATATGAGAGATGAGTTCACACCTAAGTAAAAAATTCCCCAGGCACTTATGGATGCAACAAACAGAGATATTAGAACAGGTTAAAGAGCAGATTCGGAGTAAATGTTAAAGGAAAACACAGATCTGAGGAAATCAGAAAACACAGAAACCAGAGATGAGAAGATGGAAAACAGAAAAGGTTAAGAGAGATGTAACAAGATAAGAAGATTAAAGAGGAAGAATTCCAGAAAGAGGAAAATATAAATAGGGGGAAAGACAATATGAAAAACATATCTAAAAATTTTCCAGTATGTATATAACATGGGTCTTCACATTAAGAAATACCCTGAGACTTATGCAGGACAAACAAAAACATATTGCAATTGAACTTCCTAATGTTTTGAACTTTTCAGCATTTAGGTCTTGCAGATTTTTGTCAGATTTATCCCTAAATAATACTTCTGGTGCTATTCTAAGTGGTATTTTTAATTTCAACTTCTGATTATACATTGCTACTATACAGAAATATAATGATTTTGTAACCCTTGACCTGACTAAACTCTTACTAAACTCACCTAGTTTGTAGACTGTTTAGGATTTGCTACTTACATGGTCCTGTATGGTGTGTGAATAAAGACAATTTCACTTCTTACACTGCAATCCATATGCCCTTTTTTTCTTTCTTGCCTTATTACACTGGCTAGATGCTCCAGTGCAACACTATAAAAATGGTGAGAGAGAACATTTCTGGCCTTTTTCCAAATCATAGAGAGAATGCATTCAGTTTTTCACCATTAAATGTCATATTGACTATTTTTGTAGATGAAAAAAAATATCAGACATCCTTATTGGTCTTCTGTTTATTTACACTATCCATTACTGAGAAAGGAGAGTTAAAATCTCCAACTATAATTGTGGTTTTATCTCCTCTTTTCAATTTTGTCAGTTTTTGCTTTACACATTTTGAAGCTGTTATTATATGCATACATATTCAGGGCTGTTACATTTTTGATTTTTAGGTGTCTTTGGGGGTTTTCTTCAGCTCCTTGGATCTGTCCTTTTTGTCTTTTTTACTGACCAGTAATGGGATATTGACTATTTTTGTAGATGAAAAAAAATATCAGACATCCTTATTGGTCTTCTGTTTATTTACACTATCCATTACTGAGAAAGGAGAGTTAAAATCTCCAACTATAATTGTGGTTTTATCTCCTCTTTTCAATTTTGTCAGTTTTTGCTTTACACATTTTGAAGCTGTTATTATATGCATACATATTCAGGGCTGTTACATTTTTGATTTTTAGGTGTCTTTGGGGGTTTTCTTCAGCTCCTTGGATCTGTGGGTTCACAGGTTTCAATAAGTTTGGGAAATGTTTAATGATTATTTCTTCAAATATTTTGTCTGCCACCCTCCTTTCTGGGATCCCAGTTACACATATGTTGTACTACCTGATACTGTCCCACAAATTACTGATGCTCTTTTCATTCTTTTCGTCTTTTTTTCTCTGTGTTTCATTTTGGATAGTTTCTACCACTGTCTTCAAAATCACTGATCTTTTTTTCCCTGCAATATCAAATCTTCTGTTAATCCTATCCAGTATATTTTTCACTTCAAATTTCATATTTAATCATCTCTAGAAGTTTCATTTGGGACTTTTTTATATTTTCAATATCTCTACTCATCTCAGTCATATTTTCTTCTATCCTGTTGAACACATGAAAATATTTATTACAGTTGCTTTAATATTCTTGTTTTCTAATTCCATCAACTCTCATTTCTAGATCTGATCCTCTTGATTTATTTTTCTCCCAGCTGTGGCTCATATTTTTCTGCTTTGTTATATGCCTAATAACTGTGGATACTAGATATTATGAACTTTACATGGTAAAGTGCAGTAATGTAGTTCTTTTAGTAGCATAATACTTTGTTCTGGCATAAAGTTGCTTGTAATCAATTTAATTCTTTCAAGACTTGCTTTTCAAAATTTTTAGAGTAAATCCACTGCAGTCTTTAGTGTAAAACTAATCTAGACTCACTACTGAGACAATACCCTTTTGAGAACTCTACCCAATGCCCTGTACATGTCAAAGTCTTTCCATTCTGACTGATAGGAAAACATCCTATCCCCCAGTCTTGTGTGGAAATACAGGAATTGCTCAGCCTACTGCTTTCTGGTTGTTATTTCCCAGGCCACAGGTAATTTCCTCTCATACATGCCCAGACCAGCACTCAGCCGAAGACTCAAAAGGAACCTTCTTCAGATCTTTGGAAGTCTTTGTATCTATCTACTCTCTGGCACTCTACATCTCAAATTCTAGCCCCTCTGGCTTCCCCAAGTTCCAATCTCTGCCTCCTCAACTCTGAGAATCTGCCAGGGTCTGTTCAGGTTCCCCTCCCTGTGCTGTGGCCTGTAAACCACTTCTAGGCAAGACAATGAGACAATCATAGGAGTTATCTCACTTGCTTTTCCTCTCCCCAAAATCATAGTCCTGTGCTGCCTGTTGTCCAATGTCTGAAAACTATTGTTTCATATATTTTATCCAGTTTTCTAGCTATCTAAAACAGGAGGGCAGGGCTGGCCCCGTGGCGCACTCGGGAGAGTGCGGTGCTGAGAGCGCAGCGACGCTCCCACCGCGGGTTCGGATCCTATATAGGACTGGCCGGTGCGCTCACTGGCTGAGCGCGGTGCGGGCGACACCAAGCCAAGGGTTGCGATCCCCTTACTGGTCACGAAAAAGACAATAAATAAATAAAACAGGAGGGCAGTTACAAACTTTCAGTTATAAGATGAATAAATTCTGGGGGTCTAACGTACAACATGATGATTATAGTTAACAATACTGTATTGTATACTTAAAATCTGCTAAAAGAATAGATCTTAAGTGTTCTCATCATGTACAAAACGGAAACTATGTGAGGTGATGGGTGTGTTAATTAACTTAACTGCAGTAATCATTTCACGACGTATGCATCATGTTGTACACCTTAAATATATACAATTTTTGTCAATTATTCCTCATTAAAACTGGGGAGGGGGCAGTGGGAAAACAACAAAATATAAGAATAAATTTAAAAATAAAATGGGAGGGAAAATTCAATCCCTGTTATTCCATCATGTCTAGAAGCAAAACTCCTGTGTAATCTCTTTTTAGATTAGGGTGAGGAAATAAGGGATTCATAGCACTTTCTGGGATATAAATTGGTAGTTAAAACCAAAATTAACCCACCTCAGGGACATAAATCCTTTCTAGGGATAAGTTATTCAATGAAAAAGTCAAATACTTTCTCCATCATAATTAATTTTTCAAACCACTGTACATGGTATATGTATATATAGACTTCTAATAACACCTCCTAGCTAGAAACATAAAATCATTTACACAGGTGAACATATAATAAATATAGTTAGTAAACATCACTTCTATCCATAAAAATATTGTATGCCTTTTTATTCAGTATGAATTAGAGAAGCATAGGGATATACTCACAGAAGAGCCTAGGATACCCTAAACTAGCTGGGTGCATCATATGCATCAGCAAAATACTTCTAAATTACTTAATATCATCAAAGTTCACTAGTGATCCTATCTAACTTCAGTGTTCATTTTCCCTTTGTCCACTTGCTTAGTGCATAGACTTTTTTAGCTATATGACCATTTATTATTTTACTAGGCCATCAGTATCTCTTAGTAGAAGTTCTTAAGAGATTCCCATCATGTAGCCTCTCATAAGTGAAGTTTCCTAATCTATAAAATGAAAATAACAATACCTGTCTTTTAAAACTGTTGAGATTATTAAATACAAGAGCATAAGTCAAGG